TATTTCTACAGGATCAACACCTTATCACGGTACAAAAGAAGAAGATGTGAAAGTGATGGTAACTAATGGGAAAGTATTACCAAAACCTACTCATTGTAGCGCTGCTACGTATGTATACGTTTCACTGATCGTATTTCGGGAGAAAATAAATAATACTAAAAATAATAATAAATAAAATAATACTTTCATCCTGTATAACATATATACTTGTTATTGTTTGTTTATCAACGCACAATTGTATTCCAAGTTTGTTCTACTGTGGAGGTTTTAATTTAAGATAAACTAAAATATTTTATATTTAGTATTTATGCATCATTGGTACAGACTTCACAAATATCTCAATAGGTATCAACTGATGAAATCGTGTTGGAATCGTCATCCTCGAGATCGGCCGACATTCACCCAATTGGTCAAGTCAATAAGGCCACTGCTGAACGATAGAAAGGTAAGATTAGACTGAAATACATTTCAATTCACTAAATAATTAAACAAGAATTATCCTATAATTATCTATACAGCATGGGCAATTACTTACTATTGTGTTATATTCTGTTTATTTAACAGGAACCCGATAACTCGTTCAATGTCAATGTGTCTCCATATGCAAATATATGAACATGACGAATTTGCATTGAAGACCGGCTATAACAAAATGTGCGTTATATGTCTGACAAGTGTATATCTGTTATAAATCAATCCATTATAAATATGTATTCCTTCTTTTACTTCCGCTTAAATCAAATGTCATCTGATCATTTTATATATGTATATATGGTTTGTTCATTTTACAAATAGTCAAAAATGCCGACATGACACATTTTTCTAATTACAATTGTCATATATTCCAAGTTGATCGATATTATTTACTGTTGAGAAGTCTGAAACGAATATAAAGATAGTGAATACCGCTATAATCATTTATCCCTCGTTTATGTATTAGTGGTGTTGTGATTGAATATACTACAAGTTTATCACCTCAAAACCGTTTTATATATAACCGTGTCATTTTATATATCCAGAATGTTATTAAAATAGTTTTGTTTCTAACGCAAGTGTCTTGCTTTACCGATTTTTAGTAGTGCTAGTAGGAAAACAATACATACGAATGAAAAAGTATACTTCGGTATTGCTAATGTATTCACGGCGCAGACATTATACATATCATACTCGCTTCAGTGGCTGATTAATCTTTAATTATACAATATCAAATATATTGACCGTAGGTCTCGAACAATGAATATTTCGTTATCTAATTGAATAAAGCAGCGTAGTGTAATTGTTGTTTCCTTCTTATGCTTGAAGTAATATGTTCGATTCCACATCTATGAATTATTTGTTTTTTCCATTCAGATGGAACAAAATGTGTGAGTGTAGATATGTAGATTTTTTATTTCATAAAAGAATAAATCTGACATGATGTACAATCTCTGCATTCTGGGAGGTTAATTTTATTGCAATTTTTAGCTTGTACTCTGTTGCATTGGTGGTTGAACGATTCAACGATTTTACAATAATATTGTGTCCGCAATTGTACGCAAATTATAAATTTAACCCCAATTCTCTTTGACGAGTAGCATATTAAAGACGTTTATAACTGATAGATGACCTGTATTTATCATGATGACGTGTATAGGTATAATGGGAATGTCAAAATCCGGTGTGTAATAGAAAATGTTATCCAGTCCTTACATTCATGGGTAATAGTCATGTTGAACGATGTAATGTGTCACATTATATGGTATCTAGTTGTAAAATGAATTTCCAATCGTAAATCAATAAACTGAGCCGCCAACTTATCCTTTACTATGCTTCACTTATAAATTGGTTACAACGACTACAACCGTAGACGCTTTTATTATATTCAGGGACTACTCTGGCAACTTATGTGTCGATCAGTGAAGTACGTACATTTGTGTGTGTCACTGGTTATTTTGGATTCATACTGTCTGTTAGCGGCGCGAATGGGGGGAAAGCATTTTCTTTGATATCCAAAACAGTTTTAAACACTATCAGCAGACGACAGGTGTCAAGAATTTAGGCCAAAGTGCAAAGGAACCTAATATACAACTCAAGCCCGCTATGGTAGTCTGAATTGTGATTGCCTAATCTGCATATGAAAGGTGTTGAAGACATGCATATAAGTTGCTAGTCATTAGTTCAAACTAAGGTGACATTCGTGCTGACCTTGATTGAATACTGTACTCATTGTTATTTAAAAAAAACTGACCGTGGTTAGCGCAGGCTTTATTGTATTGTTTACATTCAATAGCATGAAAAATAGAAACAAAACAGTGTTTAATGTGTAACGTCCACACAACAATATTATATACGGCGTGATTATGGCAGTGGTTTTGATATAAAATATAATGGTTATGATATCAAACGACATGATAGTGCATAAATAAAAGCGATCATGTTATATTTATCATCCATTGACATACAGTGGTCTGCGCAAATGTGACGAGTGAAATAAAATTTTATTCGGAACAAGATAGTTGACTGCTTGGCTGGAGTGGAGTTACGAACATACGGCTGCATGCGAGGACAATTGCATCTAGTGAAAGATCCTAAGTATATAGTCTTATTCAACTTTGAATTTTTGAATGTTTTAATAATAAAAATTACAACACAATGGTTTATAATGATATTTATCTCATTTATTATACCTGTTTTGTGTGATAAAGCCATTAGTTGTTTTTGATATAAAAGATTACAAAATCACTTGTCTTGTATTACGGGAAACAGTTCGCGTGAATTGCAAGGTAAAGAAGAAGTGTTCTAACATGTCGCAAACTGGTATCATAATGCCTAATTGTTCAATTCAAAATATTTGGAAAATTAGTAATTGTGTGCAGGTAAATTTTCATCCATAATGTGCCTCGAGTTGCAGGTATGAAAATCATTAAAACTAGATCACTACAATGAGATAAAAGTATAATTTATTTATGAGTAGAATTTATACTGGATTTACCTGCAGGAATATAAGCACTAAATAAGTGTATTTCAAAACAGAGAATACAATAAATTGATTTTCATTTGGGTGAACAAATTGTATCATTTCATTTTATGTCTAGTCGTTTGTTTATATTTGTATTCAGTGTTTCTGTTTCAAATGTCCGTCCGTATATATGAATGAGGGTGTCAGTAATACAATATTTTGTCCACAGAGATAACAATATGAAT